CAATATGAAATGTTAAAGAACATATGTTAGTTTTTCATTGAAATTTGAATTTACTAGCTTTCAGCTTTTCATGATTCTTAAACAAGGTTCATATGTACATTCAAATAATCAAAAAGTTAATTTCTCTAATTTGGGCTGACCCTAAAGTCAAAAGCCAACATTAAGCTTAATATAAGTTCAAATGATCAGACTTTGGTACGCATGATTGCTATACCACAACACATAACATGGTATTTACATTACAACTAGCTACATATCTCAGTCACCGGACCTTCAAAACTACTAAACATCAAAACTGTAAAGGGAACTCAGAGGCATGCACAGAATATGATCTATGATGCTGTAGTATGTGTCAACGCGGCTCAGGAGAGCTGCATAACTAAGTACAACAACATGCTTCCAACCCATTTCCCTCCTGAAGGTGAGGTTTTCTACACTCTTATTTTTGCCTCCTGTCAAATTCAAAGCCCATCTGCTTGTTATATAATAAAAGATGGCAGTGACACCTATCATATCAACATTATCACAGCCCATACAAGGATGCAATGACGTGCAATGACAGAATCATACAAATGCAGCAAACAGGCTTCTGTGTTTCAAACTTGTGCTCAATATTTAGCAAATTTAAGTAATTTATCACATCTCTATTTATGGAATATGTCATCACTTGTTTACAATTCTCACCCTTTCTGCTTAAATAACAACAGTGTAAAAGAAATGTAAAGAAATGAGTGGACTGCAATCTAAACATTAATCCATTTTTTTAACCACTTGTATTTCATCATGGGACTGGAGCCTATTTTGAGAGTTGTGGGGCAAAAGGTAGGAGACACTCTAGATTGATTGCTGGTCATACAATTCATTCACACTCACACCTACGGCCCGACACACATGTCTCGGAGTACCTAGAGAGTGCCTACACAAGCAAGCACCAACTGACTGGCATAATCTTAACATGTGACATTCATATTTGTTGAGGTGTTATGATCTATATTGTCACTCTGAGCTATATTATACCAAATCTTTCAGACAGGCAGATATGCTAACAAGCACACACACTATTTAAGAAGAAGGAGTAGGAGTTCTGTCTGTTTTTTCTAGATCATTTGCATGTTAACTGAAGAGCAAAATAAGAAGAAGCCTGGAAGGTGACTAAATACACCTGTAGTAGGTAAACAGGCTACTCGCAGCCACAAGTGATTTTAAACACCTACATGTAATTTCAGTATTCAGTTCTAACAAAAATGTGCTTTACAAATCAAAAGGCTTGGACACAAATAAAACACTACATACCAATTAAAAAAACTCAACAAAACACCAGCCTTACTGAGGAAGAACATTCAGTTATGGTTATGGTTCATTTCTGTAGGACAAATAACTGCATCTACTTACAAAGATTCTGTGCAGTCTTGGCATCCAAGATACGAAGCTCTTTTGCCTTTTTCTTAAATTGTGGCACTTTTTCTTCATTTTCATCCTTCAGGTCTTTTCTTGCTGCAAGAAAAAAAAAGAAATATTACATACGTAGATATATAGATACATAACATAAGAAATACTCATTTTGGGGACAAGAGCATACTATTAAGCTAAATTTTGAAGCTAACTGCTATCACCATTATATAAAAGCAAGAATTGAATGACATTAAACAACATTTTTCCACCATTTCTCAAAACATAGAAAAATAATTAATTTACATACATTAGAATCTCAATGCATATTAAAAGTAAGCGTACAGGACAACATGCGTTAGATGCCAACAGATGGCATAAACCAATTAAAAAACATTGCTTCAGTACCCGGAAAGTAGTATTTTGGTCCTGCATCTTTTTTCTCTAGACAAAAGGCAAAAGCAAATCAGCTACTGCTGAAACATTTGGTGGGTATTCTAACTGATCAGCCTGTGATGTATTCTACACTTAATGTGAAAACCTAAAATAAATGACTGAATATATAAGAAACAGTCACACCGATTCTAAATGTGTTACATTAAATAAATAAACCTTCAATAGGTAAAAATGTTCACAAATGTGCGTGGTTTTGCCATTTTATACACATAAGCAGCAATACATGGAACTGATTTGAATGCATTGCTTTCTGCAGTCCTTAACATATGTCATATAAGGTTGGTGATAGGCAGAACTGATTGATGTTAGCAACCTTAAACATAAAAGTGGAACTACATAATAGGCAATATAATCATCTGCAGCATCAGAGGAAAGTCTTGCAGACAACTTTCCTATCTTCATTTGCATGTGCCAACACTTTTGTCATTGTGACAGTGGGTAGATGGTTGATAAGCACCGCTCCTTCCCTTAGGCCCTGCCTGTTAACTTCCTAGAGCCAGGAAGATAATTGTGTTAGCCCCCACAAATCCCAAAAAATAGTATTAAGTCTGTGACTGAACACAATAGACGAATTTGTCTAAGAATGAAGAGACCCTATGTTTTCATAATGGACAGATTATTGAGTCTGCACACTGGGGAAACACCACAATAACAGTACTGCAGTAACACCCAATTTGTCTAAAAACATGAGCCTGCAGGGGACAGAATCATACACATGCTACTCCTTTTTTCTACTTTGTTTGGCAAACTAAACTCTTTAAATGTCATGATGAATTATTTTTATGAATTTATCACCTGCTGGACTTTAAATGCTCAGATGTGTTTCAGAAAGAAGAAATCTGCTCATGATCAAAGCATTTTAACCTCCTGGGACCTGCGTCCACATATGTGGACATCACATTTTGGGTTAATTAGACCAAAATACTCAATTTTGCTCTACAAGGGCCTGATATCCACTTACGAGGACATTATGCTGCTGCTGTTCTATCAACATTTTGAATGAATATCCTCATTTGTGGCTCAGATTTTTCTTAAAAACAAAAATAAGGTAAAAAAAAAATAAATCTGGTAATTCTTTGTTTTTACATTCATCGGGCCCCAATATGCCCAAATATCAAAGAGAAATTAAAAATGCATGTCGTGGAAGAGTTCGGGCCTTAGGAGGTTAATGTTTGTCTCAACTATGTTATTGAAGCTGGGGAAAATAGCATAACAGTAGACAGCACTATCACAATTATCAAATGTCCAAAAAGTCCAAAATAATAAGACCAGTACCTAATAACTTAGTTGGCTGTGAGATTTCACAGAGAATTTGCTAATACTGAACGTAATTCTACTTTATTCATACAAAACAAGCCTCTGTGGTGGAATTCAGGTGCACTGTCAGACAACCTGTGTCCACCTAAATCTGTTAAACTGTAATTACAGTACAGGCGAGACTTCAGAATAAAAATGCAGCAACATGAGAAAGAAGATTCCTTAGATCCTTCGCTCTCCCCCAGTGGTTTATGAGAGGCAGCACACTTTGTTGCTAATCATCACAACTGCTCAGTTTAAGCCCAAGGTGGGAGTCTCCCAGGAAATCTAGAACAAACAATCTGCTCCCTCAGCGCGGGCTTGCATATTTGAAGAAAGACTCAAAGAAGCAACATCTCCTGGGCCGCCAGAAGAAGGAATGCTAAAGGCACCTGCCTAACTCAAGTGCTCTCAAGGACGCACATGACATTTGGGATGCAGTTGTTTACTACTGGTAAAACGCTGTACCTATAATACAAATGCTACACAAAGTATTATGGTTTGATTTTCTGTCAAAATAATAGCGTGATCCTTCAGGAGGCTGTAGGACACAGCACTTTAACTTGCAATATAATACACGAGTGTGCACATGCCAACAGAAAGGGTGAGACGTGGGACTTGAGAATTCATAAATGCATTTAGGAAGAGGATGTTAGCCAATTCATTAGTGGCTGTGTTTTAAGTGTTTTACACAAGGCACAACCCTCATACATACTTGCAGTTAAGTTAATGTCATAAGAGAAAATCCCACTTTATTTCAATATTTTAATGGATAGTGTTTTAGTTTAATCTTTGCCAGGAAGGTACCTTTATTAACAATTACAAGTAATTAGGAAGAACGCAATAGCACTACTGAAAAAGCCGAAAGTAATAAATGACTGTTCTACAAAGTAATTAAATAACGAAATTATTTTTATTTTACTGTACTACTGTACACTGTGTACTAGTAACTAAAAATAATTGCTAATATCTATCTCTCTATCTCTCTTATGTCATGCCAGAACGTCTGAATTCCTCAAAGAAAACAGACGCAAAAAAAATATTAATGAGTTAAAAAACAACAAATCCAATATACAGTGCAGGGCCAGTAACCAACAAAGAAATCATCCTTCATTTCCTATGTGGCACGAACAAAGGAAATAAATAAATAAATGAAAATACGAGGAAACAATGCCCCATAGACAGAGAGCAAACTGAGCCATGAGGAGGCTGCTTTTTGGCACCAAAGTGTTCTTTTCAACCTCCACATTTTCCACACGGCCTCTTGAATCTCTCATTTCAGTACCTCAAATTCTCAACAAGGAGATCCCGGCCATTTTGGTCAGTGCCTTTACCCTAGTCCCAAGGGCCTTGTGCTATATCGAATTAAACATAAAAACAGTGCCCTCTATAATATGAAACAGGCATATATTTTTTTCTAAAACCATCTATACGGCTCAGAGCTCTCCCACTGGGCACTGAGTAGTGGCATCACTAGGCTGATTTCTGCAACAGCATTTGCTGGCTGACTCAATTATGCCACATGTCACATGTTTCCTCTGGGCACTGCATGTGGACTGATGGGCCCTGGAGGGCTTGCACACATTCAAGCTGCCACACTAGTTGGAGTCCCAGGTGTGTGGGGAGGATGACTATAGGTGGCATATAACCAGATGGTTGGCCGCAACAATAAAGAAGTTCTGTACATGTGTTCAAAACACAGGAGCTGTCAGATAGTTACTAAATATTCCAAACTCCACATGGCTTGAGACAAAGTTACATTTTGACAAAAGTTTTACTTTTTATTTCCACCAAAAATCCAACTTTGGGAACGTGTGTGACTCCTTTTCTGCCAAGAAAGCTTAACCTGCCTAACTGTGTAGGGCCACAGCAGCTGATCAAACCCTGTGTCAATATTTAGACGTGTTTTATTACTTGCCCAGTGGCTAAAATGTAATACTTTGACAACAATGACATCTTTCATGCACACAGTTATATTTGTTAATGGAATCTTTCAAGCAATCATGCAGCGAAGCACCATTTGTGGCGGGAACAATGTTGGAGGTTTCTTGGCAGCTTGTTGGTTCCCTCGCTTCTGTGTACAATGGAGTCCTATCACATAGATGCATTATTTCTGTGTCAGGCAGTCAGATGAACACGTAGTGATAACAGAATTCTAATTAAAAGCTAATATAATCATGTAATTATTGCTATTTGGTAAAATTGGGCGATGGTCTGGGTGAGGAATACATTTTTCATCGAGAGTACTCAGTTCGTGAAAGAAGGAAGAAACGTTTATTGAAATTTGCACCCTACTGTACTATCTAAAGCTCAACTTTCAGGAAGCTTATTCTTGGGCCGTATTCTTCTCCAAGGCAAACAACAGGGTCAAATGCTTTTGACATGACATGGGTTGTGCAAGTTTAGTACGGAAGATGTACCAGTGAAAAGTAGTTTTCATTCACATGGATTTGTTGTTACATCTTAACTTACAAGGCTGAAAAGATTTGAGAAGACTGTCGGGGAGGAAATGTTTTGAAATCATGTTTAAACAAAACACATGGAAATTCTGCTGGCGCCAGCAGAACCACATGAAGAGAATCCTCTGGTGACTGTAATTGTAACACATTACATTAACTGAGGGGGAGTTAAAGCTTGCTCCATGCCAAAAGGAGTCACCAAATTGATAGAGGTTTTAACGAACAAAATACGTGAATGTTTGAGCAGGAAAAAAAACGACTTGGCCTATTAAAGATGACTTGGCTTCCATGTTAAGCCTTCTCTGTGGGCCTTGGACTGAGGTATACCCTTGGGAAACTCTGTGATAACAAGAGTTCTCCAACACTTGGATATCCAGTCTGTTTGCTGGCCCAGAAACACTATCCTGGGTGCCTTCCATGCAATATCTCCCTCAAGACGTCCATAAAACCCAGGGCATTACAAAGCTAAACACTACCACATGTTCACTTCCGGACACAGACCATCCGGCTGAGCCCCAGCACCAGTCACCAGAAAATAAGCGGGCCTTGAAAAGAAATAACAGAAAACTGCAGATGACAGGTCTTCGACAAACATATTTAAAGGCAAAAGAACACAGAGTGGAACAGGCAATGTGGAGTCTGGTCCTCTACAAAGCAATTTATTCCTTCAAATGTGCAATCTGCCTGCAAACATGTGCCCTGTCCTCCATCTCAGGGACTCACACTGAGGATTGAGCTACTGGAGAGCTGCCAGTTTGTCTAAAGGAGATGCATTCTGAGGAAAAGTCACTGGCCTCAGTCACAGAAAAAACAATTCCACAGAGGCGTGGTGTGGACACAGATCGCGAAGTAGCCAGCAAATTCCTTTCATGTTCAGCATCTCTGTTTAA